CTAAGTTAAAATTCAATCTTTGAATTTTAATTCATTGTAACTCAATCATTATAGTGTTGCTGTAGGTAAAATTTATTGTAACTTTTTTTTTTTTGCCCGAGAGTTTAAGATAGGGAGTTGAAGTTTCATTTGGTCAAACCTCAAGTTATAGATTTTTAAAACTGCCAAACTTTGCTTCTCTGGTCGCAAATAATTTCTTGCCGCCGTACGCCGCTTCTTTTGCCACCACATTCAACCTATTGCTCGACAGTCTCATAAAGCCACCCTGGTCTGATACATTACAGGAGGTCCAATCCGTAACCATGGGGTTATCTTGCATTGTGGAGAAGAAAGACTGGTTCGAGTATCGTAACCAACATTTTTCTTCCCAAATGATGGCTTCTTTCGTGTAGGGGCGTTTCACGAGGATATCTTCGATTGCCTCGGAAACACATTCTTGACAAGTCGGACCGGTGACGTCTCCGGGGCAGAGGAAGAGGCCGTACACGGTGGCGCTGGGGATGTTTTGCCTGACGGTGGTGCTGTAGAATCCATCGCTTTGATTGGCGTTCGACGAAAGGGAAGAGAGTAAGCGATTGAGATTGGCTTGGTATGTGCTGCATGGGGCAAATGTGGCTGTGTTTGGACAGAATTGAGCCTGGCCTTTGATTCTAGCCATCAAAAGTATTACTTCTTGGGTCCTTTTTATTTTCTAAAAAAAATTTCTTGGTTCTTTATGCAAGTTGTTTTTTCTTATTTTTGTAATTTTTAAAGCACAATTTCAAAAATATCTTAAGATAAATTCTTTTAAAAAAAGTGTAATATTTTATTTTCTTTAAAAATATCTTCTCATATATTAAACTACTCTTTTTTAAATTTAAGGATAAAACTAAAAAAGTGAATTATTTTTAAAATAATTTTATTATTTTAATTAACTTTCCTTAATTGAAGTGATTTAGTTAAAAATCACTTTTAAAGTATTGAGAATAATGAATAGACTTCTCTAAACTAAATTACTACACATAAAAATGGCATCATATTTTAATACAAAAATTTAAAACAATAAATTTGTGAATCCTTCCATTTATATATTTTTATGCTTATTAACTCTATCTAATGTGGGATTTCCCTCCATCTTGTTTATATCACATCAAGAATCCTAGTTACACTTAGCTTGACATCCTAACAATAATGATGACACTTATTCCAAATTAAATTAAACCTGTTCACATGACGATGATCTCTCCCATTATTTGTCTTTACTTCACAACGTGTCAACATTCCTTCCTTATATATAGGAAAGGAGCAACATCTGTTTGTTTCCCGTCACATCTCGCGTTAATTGAGCCGTAGCGCATAAGTATGTATGCATGTAGTTGTGCACCCACAACTTATAATTTAATCTTGACGATGAATATAGTTTGTTAAATATAGAAGATTATATATCTCGAGATTAATTTGAGCAGATCGTGCCATAGTACAATGCGTCTAGTATGGTTAACATTACAAGGGAAGAAAATATCGATAGTTTTCCGAGACTTCACCATGCACGAGCTTCCACAAAAGAGATGAACATATACCTTCAGCAATAATCTCTCTGCTTGTTGCATAGAAGCCTCAGAAAAGAGATAAAATTTCTAAGCATCAAATTGTTAATTAAAACATCCTTTTATATTCGTTTATAAGTAAGATCTACACATTCTGTTCTGTTCCTTCATTACTACGTACAGTTGTTCAAATATAATATGTGTGATGAATGGTACTTTGGCAATCATTGATGCAGGGTAAGAAACATCATTGATTATGGATTTGGTTTCAGTACTTACCACCGGTAAGCAATCTGAAAAATCTGAACGATTCAAATTTATAACTTTTATCTTTTTATTTTTATTATAAAAAATTATAAAATTTTAATAAATTTATCTTATTATTAATTTAGATAATACAGATATGATTTGAATGATCTAGTTTAATATTAATTTTTTTAAAAAACATTTATAAATTGATTGTCCAAATATATTTTGAATCGTGATGAGCATCAAAACCAGACCCCATTGATTAGTGAGTAAAAGATATGTATGACAAGCTTTCATTATTTTAATTTCCGCTTAAAAGGTAAAATACACAAATAACTTGCATTGATTATATTCTTGATACACTACACCTATTTAAAACACCAGGCCAGTTTCAAACTTGTACCAGTTGACAGACAATACAATAACAAGTCGATTATTTTAGGTGGGGAAAAAAGATACTAGCGAGGATACAAATCAGTAATTGGATCTTCATCCACAGACCGTTGCACTGACTTGCTTGTAGATTGATCCGAACTATTCTCAGAAATGATCAGATTGTTTGAGCCTGTTCTATGGCGATCAACAAAAAATGCTGGCTCTTGAGGGTCTGATAGGGTGACAGAGTGGCTACTTAGCATTACCATAATAGATTGTATTGTAGGTCTCAGAGCTGGATTTTCCTAGATACATAACAAGCTTATATGAATGCATTTAATAACTTCATTTCTTGAACAAGAATCTCTTAAACTAGGATCCAACAATTCTAATGGCGTCCCTTCCCTCCACAACTTCCAAGCCTGGAAATCAAATCATATATAATTAATGATTTGAGATTTGATATATCTCTCTAGCTGCCATCTGAGTTTATTTACTCTGATAATCTACTTACATAGCTTAGTACGTCTTTAGCATAACTTGATACGTAGAAAGCTGTATTCTTCTCACCACTAATGGTCTCCAGAATTAGGACACCAAGACTATATATATCAGATTTGATTGAAATATGACCATGCATTATATATTCTAGAGCCATGTAACCACTGCAAATGAACACACAGTACATGATAAATAATCTTGTTTCTCTAGTTTGTTATAAATTATGATACCAAATAATTGGAATAAAAAATTGGTTTAAGCATACATACAAGGTACTGACAACTCTACTTGTGCTTGCTTGAGTTTCGTCAACTTCAAAAATTCTAGCTATACCAAAATTATAAATTTTTGGATTCAAATCTTTATCCAAAAGTACATTACTAGCTTTGAGATTTCGATGTATAATTTTGAATTGAGAGTCTTCATGAAGATAAAGCATCCGCTTTACAATTCCTTCGATAATCTTATACCGTTTTGACCAATTCAATTTACCTTTATTTTCAGGTCCTGTATATGGTCAAAGGATTTAGAAGCATATTCAAATAAAATTAAAAATTAGATTCACATCCTTACTCAAGTTAGAACTTCAAACCAATTATTTATAAAATTATATGATTGGATAAGTGAACCTACGAGTACCTGAATGCAAAACATAATTCTGCAGAACTTACCAAACAGAAACTTATCCAAGCTTTTGTTGGGCAAGAATTCGTAGACAAGTATCTTTTCTTCCTCATCTAAACAAAATCCTAGTAACCTCACAAGATTTCTGTGTTGAAGTTTTGCCATCGTAACAACTTCATTCTTAAATTCTCCTACACCTTGTTTGGAATTGCTTGATAATCTCTTCACAGCTAACTCTTGTCCACCAGGAAGAGTGCCCTGCATATAATGTAGCCAACTATTAAAACCCATTTTCGAACAAATAAATAATAATTTGCTTATTTTAAGAGAAATTCTGATTTCCCTTGGTGAAATATATTTGTATGTATACCTTGTACACCTCGCCAAATCCTCCTTGTCCGAGTTTATTGTCAGGAGAGAAGTCGTTTGTGGCTGATTTGATGGTATCCAAATCAAATTGCAGGGACTCTACAGTTGAAATCTCAACTACATAACCATACACTGATCAATTACACATGACTTTAATTTCTTGCACTAGAGCTATATTTACTATAGAAGTACACCAACATTACATGTTTAAACGGTGATATGAAGACTGTTCATTGTATATTAATTTTGTGATGTTATTAATCAAAGGAACTTCCTTGCTTCCATGTAAAGCGAAAATTGCAGGTTTATCCAGCTAGAAAAGCTGATAATCATATCATACCAGTTCGTTTAGGAAGTGATGTATACTTCTTTATCCTTGCTCTCCTTTTAAGCACCAGAAGCTGCAGAGCGAGACCGTCAATATGAATATGACTGTTGGAACAGCTATGGCAATGACTGTACCAGTTGAAATCCCGCTTTTATCTGCACAAAATAAAATAAAAAAACTAAGTTACGTATATTTTCGGATTTTTATTAAAATTGTACAATTATTTTCTTTATTCTTAACAATTACTCCCTCCATTCAAAAATATAAGACATTTTTTGAGGAGCTGGATGTTTAAAAATGTAAGGTATTTTTAATCTTTCAATGTGTAATCATTGCCTTTTTTCTAAAAGTGTCCCTATTGATAATGACTTTATATTTATTATAGGATATTTAATAGGGATAAATATGAAAAAAGAGGGTTAGTTAAAAAGTAAATAACTATTTTATTGAGAATAAGATTCAGTTAAAAATACCTTACATTTTTGAATGGAGGGATTAACGTATTCACAAATTTCCTATACATCAATTTCCAAAGTTAAAATTGTCAAATTAAAATATGATTTATTAAAAACAAAGAGAGAGAGATATATATATATATATATATATATCTTTGCGCTTAATTTTTTTTTTGGATACAATCTACGCTTAAATTCTTAAATCGGAGGTTTACTATTGAATTTAAAATCAAACTGAAATATAAAATACATTTTTATTTATGAGAGATTTCACGTAATTTAATGGATGAAAAATTTATGCAATACTCAATCTGTTCCCATATATAAAGGTCTTTTAAAATTTTTTTTATCTTTAAGTATAAAAGGTTGTTAGTGATGTTAACATAAACGGTGATTCAAATATTTTTTTTTTAACTTGGAGGACAAAATTTAATTAAATGAGTAGCTTAACATGGATGATTGAAGAAATGATTGTTACCTTGGGAAGTGGATTGCAGCGGAGGAGCTGGTGGCGGAGGAGAGTGCTGGTAGAAGGCGTAGACTTCATACCTTAAAACGCAACTGGGCTTCAGGGTTACTCCCCCAACATTTCCATTACAGCAAGTAGGCAAATTGCTAATACTGTTTCCCAGACAGTTCCGACATTTAATCTCAGATATATCCTTCGTGCACTGCGCCAGAGTATATAGAGTTTGAAAAGGACTATACTTCTTTGGTTGCAAATTTCTTGCTTCTCCCTTCCGACGCCTCTTTCGCAACCACCGTCAAGGTTTCACCCAACAGCTTCATAAAGCTTGTTGTGTCTGTTGCGTTGCCGGTGTTAACAAGAATTTGCTGGGGTTGTTCTTGCATCGTGGAGAAGAAATACTCGTCAGAGTAATGTAACCAGCAGTTGTCGAACCAATCGACGGCTCCTGTATTATTGGGGCACCTCTGAAGGATTGTTTTGATTCCGTCGGAAACACATTTTTGACAGGCTGGGACGGTGGTATAGCCATCGCACTGGAAGAGGCCGTGGACGGCGTCGCTGTTTTCTCCCACGGTGGTGTTGTAAAATCCATCACTTTGATTGGCGTTGGAGGAAAGGGAAGAAAGTAAGCGATTAACGTTTGTTTGGAATGTGCTGTTTGGTGCATAAGTCGTGTCTGAACAATACGCTTTGATTCTAGCAATCAAAAGGATTACAAGGCAAGCAAGAAGAGAGAGTTTTGAAGAATCCATGGAGCAAATCGTTTTCCGATGATTGTATATGCCGTGGGCGATGAAATATGACTAGTCCCTGTTAACTTCTTGTAGTTTTTATTATTTTGGAATTTTCAACGCGGCCGGTTTAGAATTAGGAAAACATTGATAAATCAAGGCATGGCGCGGACGGGACTAATGTTGAGGTGTTAAGTGTGAACGAATTTAACTTGGCGTGGAAAAAAGCCCCACATTAAATGAAATTAAACTGGAGAAGATGTATACTCCCTCCATTTAAAAATATAAAATATTTTTAAAGAATTAAATGTTAAAAAATATAAGATATTTTTAATTTTATAAAAAATAATCATTATCTTTTTTTTAAAAGTGTCATTATTGCATAAGTCACTTTATATTTATTTTAGAATAAAATACTTTATTAAAAAGAACTAAATATAAAAAGATAAGGTTAATTTAAAAATAAATAACTGCTATATTAATGGTGAAATTTAGTTAAAAATACTTTATATTTTTTGAATAGAGGAAGTATAAATGAAAAAGACTTATAAACTTAACATTTTAAAATTTTGGATTAAGAGGTAACGTTACACTTATTTATTTGTCCTTTTAGACCGTTTGGTGGCTCAATTGGGTTATTCCCTCCTCTAGGATGCTTCTCGGGCCCAACACTAGGATTGTCACAATATTAAGTTATTTTAATTAATCAGTCTCATATTATTCATACTTATTTTGAATTTCATCCTTACATTTTTAATTATTAGAATCAGTCTTTAAAAATTTAAAAGCGGTAAATTATAAGAAATAACTTTAGAAAATCATGAAGTGAAAAGATTAAATTAAATTAAAATAAGTATAAAATTATATATTTCCTCTGGTATTATTTATAAAGCAAAGAGATAAGATTTTTTTGTCCTATTTATAAATCATTTTATTAAATTTTCATCAAAAAATTTTTTCATTTACCCTCCATTAAATGTTGAAAAAATAAAATATATTATTAAAATATGCATATTTAATAAGAATAAAGTTAAAAAAATTTAATTTCTAAATGAAGTTAATGAATTTTAAGAGTAAAATATATTAGAAATGTTTTATGGATAGAACTACAAGAATAATAAGGATTATTATTTGATTTTTTTTTTCCTTATTGTGAAACAATCCCCCGGGGGGGGGTGGAGAGGACCAGCAAGGAGACATTGCCTCGTAACGTACGGTAGCAACGAATACAAAACAAAACCGCGCGCAACATTATAAATCATCTTCCATGAACATGCAGCGTTAGGTATCGCAGAAGTCAAAACCCACTTTTCAAGTCTTGGGCCTTCGTTGTCATTTACTTTGTTGATCTCTTCCATCATTATGTTTGATTAGGACTTATCTGTCTTCGGCACTAGACGGCAAATTTGAACTCATCCTTATGGATGAAGAGTTGAAGATAATAGCCAATGGAGAATGCTACCTTGTTGCTGTCAAAAAGCACTGATTCCACACGTTAATTAGGTTCTTTTGCCCTTCAAATTCAAAATAAAATAAATTTCCACTCACCCATCATTTAATTTTGGATAAGATGGAAAACAGGAAGAGAAAAGGAGTTTCACACTACTAAAACATACAAGTTTTTGGACAAAATTTGATTATATAGTCAAGCGAATGTAGAAATTACATAACAATGCTGGTGTCATTTGCAATGTTTATTCAGGCCTCGTTTAGTATGATGGAAAAATTTTTGATAAAATTGGAATCAAAATCAAAATTGAAATCAGAATAGAATTGGATTATTTATATTTATTTGGTATGTACGTGAAATCCTTGTATTATTTATTATTTAATCTGCATATACATATATTAAATGACTAAAATATCCTTGAATAAAAAAAAATCTCCTTCTGCATCATTGAAATCCCAAGTCCAATCATCATGACGCTCCCTAAGATCCACACTACTTTGTCTTCCTTATCCACCTCATACACTGCTAGATTCACACCCAGATAAAGAAGCAAGTGCTCAACAGCACGGCTTATACAACATCCATTGTTGGATGTTCATGCCCAGACCAAGAACACCCACAGAGAGAGAGAGAGGTCGTGGGAGTTGGGTCGTCAAAGAATGATCGAGTTATTCACTTGTGATGGTGGTGTAAAGTTTTTTGAGTCGACGAAGATCTAGAATGTGGGTTATCACTAATTATAGAGTTGTTGACTTGTGTGTAGTAGAGAGAGAAAGAGAGAGGGAGGGAGGGAGAGGTTGCAAGAGGTGGGTCGTCAATGGATGATAGATTCGTCAACTTGTGATGGTGGTGTGAAGCTCCTTGAGTTGATGGAGAGCTAAAAGGTGGGTCATCATCGGTGATAGAGTTGTCGACCTATGTGCAGTAGAGAGAGAAAGATAAGTAGCGTCATAAGGAACCTATTGTAGTTTATGTCAAGTCTGTTGTAGAGGAGGATGTCATCGTTCAATGCCGATGAAAGGTGGTCATCACTGGTGGTTGCCTTGTTGGCACATTTGCTAGAAGTGTCATAAGGAAGAAGGCATAAAATGGAGGAAGGGGTAAAATAGACAGACAATGCATGAGAGTATCATAAAATCAGATTCCATCTTGTATATGATGGAATATGTAACAGTTCTCACCCTACCTTCTCGAGAGTCTTTTAGACTGGAGCCTTCACGTAGTGGGCCAAGCTTTCCCCAATAATACCATATATTAAAATACCTTGATAAGTCATGCATTATTTGAATATCCAAACAAGAATATAATCGAATAATAATATCTCATCATGATAAACAAAAATAAATTTTAACCCACTTGACAATAATTCCAAACAAGTATATTCTAGTATTTATTTCCAATAATCATAGTTCATAATTTTTTCAAACAACAAATAATACATAACCAATCACAGACACACCCATCACAACACATTAACAATGATTATCTTGTATTTTGAACAATAAGTTTTCCTTCACAACTCCTCTTTCACCATTATTTTTGTCAATACAATCTACATAATTATTCCATAATGCTCCATATTAATTTCACATTAAAATTAATAAATAAATTTAATTTAAAGAGTTAGAAAATTTTAGCCTAAGATCCATATTAATACTAATTTAAGGTTTATGCCTCATTTAACTTTTCAAATTCTTTTCTATAATTTTTATACCCTAATAAACTATATTTAAGCCTCAAATCACTTCTAGCATCACAATTTCATTAATCTATATTCTAAAAGTTCATCCAAAATAAATTAAAAATTTCAGAATTACCCTGAAGCCTCAAATCACTATTCTATAGCCTTAGAAATACATATTCATACTTAAATAAATATTTAATAATCAAAGGTTCATCCCTGCATACATTCAACATAAATTCAACTATATAGAGCTGGAGTCTAACTCAAAAATTCTTAAATATAAATTTCAACCTCAAAAAAAATATTATATAATATTTATTATATCCCTAACAACTTCAACATCTATTTTTAATCCATCATATCATCAGATTAACTATCATATAGAAAAATTTTAATTAGAATGTCTGCTCTACTTTACAAAATAATCATATCATTAGAAAGCTAATATTATTTAACTATGAATGTAATTAAATATTTTTTTAAATGCTAATCTAAACAAAAAATTTGGAACATACCTGAAGAAAAAGAAAATAAACACCCTTGCGTGAGAAGATGGAGCAAATGTGAGAGGGAGAGAGAGATAGGGGAAAATAATATGAAAATAGGATTGTAGGTCCCACAATTATATTAAAAAAAAGATTATAAGTTTAAATTTAATTATTCAAACTCTTGGGCCATTAGTTGTAATTTTTTTTAAATTACATCTCAGCCACTTTTTGGCTCTCGACGTCCTCTCCTTTTTATATGTGAGAAGACCTTTCCTCTTCCCACATCTAACTGATGTGGGACCTAAAAGAAGCCTTTCACCTCTTTTTTATTGTTACTTATACACAGACACACAAAATTATTAATATATTTTAAATTTTAAAATTATATCTTAACTAAACATTTCTTATGTAATTTTAAATCTACCTTTTTAATTTATAATTAAATGCCTAACCATATTATTATTTTTGAATAACCTCAAATAATATAAATTCATATGATTATCATTTTTTATCCTCTACAAAAACCTAAATTCCACAATTTTAGCTTACGAGGCCTCACAATCCCTTAATTGAAATAATCAAAGCAATACTTAGTCTAGAATTTGGAAGCTACCAATGGCCTAAAGAGTGAGAACCTTTATTTTGTTAATGCTAAAAGGGAGACTACTCACCAACTCAAAACAAGCTCGTAGAAAATTTACTCAACATGAACAATGCTCCCTTTGTAATGGCCTACTTGAAGATATTAATCACTCTCTTAAAGAATGTCCTTTTGCTGCATCAATCTGGAAGAAAATTCTTCCCTTGGATATGTGTACTAATTTCTATGGGAAGACGATTAACTCATGGTTCATTGACTGCCTACATAATCCTTGTCTTGATACATTTTGAAAGATTGGCATTAGTATTACTTGTTGGAAGCTATGGGAAATTCAGAACTAGCGCATCTTCATTGAGGAGAACATTTTGGAAAATGATGTGCTTTCCCAAATTAGAATTACTGTCAAGCATTCCTTAGGCTCTTTTTCTACTCTTACTACTTTGCTGTAATGTGTTAATTTCTCTTACACTTTGATTGTAGTTTTGTACACTTTCCACTTGAGTTAATGAATTTCCCTTTTACTCAAAAAAGGACAGGATGTATTTTATTCTTTGCAATGTGTTGATACATACATACATGCGCGCACTTGCATGCTGTGCTTTTCAAGATGGGATGCTTGCATGAATATGTGATGTTTTTTCATTTTAGAGCTGAATCACAGAACATCTTTGTGGTGTGTCGACAAACTATATACGAGTGTCTTCATGATATTTGCATTAACGTAGCATCCTGTGCTGGCTTCTATGGTATATGTAACTTAAGCATGCGCGTGCAGGGATAGAAAAAAACCACTTCTAGGTC